AAAAAAATTATAGTAATAACATGTGATTATTTCAAACGTATCTATTTCTCAAAATTAATTTTTTACATTATGATTAAAAACAATTTAAAAAATTTCTTAATTTACAGCGGCAGGAGACCCGAATGCTTGGAGATTGGGAAGAATCGAAGAGACTGATCATGAAACACCCGTTTAATGGAAAAATTATTAAATCGATGTCATCCTCGACAGTCAATATAACATAACATCGGTGTTTTTACATAACGCAATTACAGCAAGCTGATATTCATTGTGACTAAATAATGTGCATATTGAAACTATGCGTAGAAAAAAATTGAACGTTTTCTTGCCAATTAATAATTTTCCCAATGGCTAGTCAACCATATGCGATAATAAGAAAAAATTCCATCGTTTTGTAGAGTATGATGAATTCCATTCTAGTTTATAAAGCAATCTAATCAATAAGTTTATGCTTCCAGTATATTTGTTGGGTATGCTTGATATTGAATTTAAAGTGCGGCTATTTATGATTATAACTTTGATATTTCGGTATGTTGTGAATGAATAATAGATCAAGACTTTGTAAGTGTACGCAAGGATAACAAAAAATGAGGGTGACATACAGCGGCGTAACTTCTGTTAATGCGAGCTCTGTGATGTCGCAATGGTACTTGAGAGATAGTCAGGGAGGCCTAAAGAAACTAATTCTTTCCCATACCCAGAAATAGTGCCTTTTTACTTACATTTCCTTAATGTTTCTTAATGTTTCCATGGAGAAAATATGTACAATATATTACTATATATACTATATGACATATTTATCCAATGTATCTAGTAGATTCTCCAAATGTCGCTGTATTACATGTTTGAAGATCTATGTTATGAAACTGTTAAGTAACCGATGTTCACAAGTCAAAGAGACATAAGAAGTTACGCCATTATTAATGCATTGAACATTACAAAGTATGACATAAAGAACATTGTTGCGAGATTCATATCGCTATATCGCTATTAGAGACGCCGAATCATGCATATAACTTTCGATATTTAAAATATTACAGATTGCTACAAGGTAACATTATAATTATGCTCATAAATTTAATTATTTCATTATTGCTCTGTTTGTTTGTGAACAGTGCATATGGTATCGATTGTTTTTGTATAATTGGATAAGCGAAAGTAAAAGATGTAAAACATGTTACATAAAACAGATTGTTGGAAATTGTCTAAAAAATGTCAATAACTTAAAATTGAAAAAAAATACAGAAATCATATTTGAGATAATAGGGCTTCAAAGCAAAAATCGCTTCTGATGGCTAAAATATCTCGGTAATTAAACTATCAAATAATTACTTTGGAAACGACTTTGTTCAATCTTTAGAAATGTCATATTGAAAATTAGAAAATTGTTAAAAAATATCAATAACACGCTCCTACATCCTTAAAATTATAATACATACTTTAAGAAGACTTTTTATATGTAAAGTCATAGTTCCGAACAACACATGTAACATATTCTATTTCGGATATTAACGACAGTTTATTGCATAATGTAACAATTATTCTCCATTACATATACATATGCCTCATATCCGTGATGATATTTTGAACTGAAGATATCATTTTATGTAGCAAAGTAAATGAAATGAAATGTGTAGAAACATCTTTTGATATGTATAAACATGAAATACAGGACCACAAGAGTTAACGTTTTTTGCATATATAATCCATATATAAAAAACAGACGATTTATTACTTTCTATGAATGTGAGTTATTGAATCTTTGTTATTTATTATTTCTTATTGTTATGATTATTTTTGTACATGAAAAATTGTTTTTAGTATATAGTTAGAGATAAGAGAGAGTGGTTGATGAGAGCTTGAAGAAATTAAATCATATTGGATACAATAAGAATGCATATAAAGTGGCAGTGCGAATAAAGAAAGTTAATTTTAAAAATACAAATGATTTTTATTATATAAATCTATTTTTATTATATAAATCTTTGTCTCATCCCTTTTTCTTTAGTATATTAATATTTCATACATAAAATATACAAAGCAGTATAATGGAATCTAAAAACAATCAAGGAATCAAACCGAGGAATCAAAGATAAGATTTAATTATTTCAATTATGTAATTGAAATATCATAATGTGAATGTATAGAAGCTGGAAAATATACTATTTATTTTTCAAAATAGATCTTCTACTGTCTTCCCAAATCTAAATTAATGTCTCTGCAAATTTTTTATAAGAGAAACATTACTTTATTTAAATCCATTATAGTAACAGGAAGAAGAGAAACAATTCGGTTCTAGCAAAACACTTTTTTTGTTGCATAATTGAAAAGGATGCAGGTAATTGTAATAATATAACCTATATAAATATTTACTGTCAATTAAAATTCAATATTTTTATTATTTTCATGTTATGTAACGTTGAAATTAATAAATTCGAAATTCTACAGAACTGCATAATAAAAAGAAAAATATAAGGCTTGATAAATTAATATATCAATAAGAATCTTTAACCCCTAACTGGGCACGCCGTGGCAGTAAATACGCCGCAAAATTCACTTTTCTGAAAAATCATTCATAATAGTCACAAGTCTTCTTTCTATTATCTACCTTTTGTATTCTTCATTTAACATCTCAACCATAAAACAGCGAAACTGCCGCATTTTTCCCATTAAATGGTTAGCCTTTATTAGCCTTATTCATTTTAAAATCAGTAAGACACGTTTCGCGGCACGAAATACCGCGCGTGCCTCAGAACGTAAGTAAAATCTTGCTTATATAGATAATTATAATAATGCGAGATGTTGAACCATTTCTCACAATTTATTTTTACTCACATTAATGCTTAATATCTCTTTAGGCTAGAGTTAGTTATGTTTTAAAAAGCTCAAACAATATGAATTTTGAAACAATTTTAGAGACATTCTGGATTCAAATCCTGTCCTAAATTTCCTATCATAAGTCTTAAAAATATCCTAAATTGAGAAGTATTCTATAAATACTTGGAGAGATAGAGGAAGTTGACATACAAGAAATAATTTATTTTAGTTGATTTTATTTCATTTTTATTTTTTAGTTGATTTTTAATAGTTTATTTTATATCATTATTTTATAAGAATATTGTTATTTTCCATGTTTGACTTTAATTGATGTCTTTATTTTTAAAACAATTATCATATTTTTAATTTTCTACTTACATCTAACCAAACTTTTATTTTTATAAGAAAGTAGACACAAAATTTTAATATTACAATTAAATTTTAATATTATATTTAATTATAAATATATTTTACTTATTTTTATGACTATTATTTAATTATTTATCCAATTATTATAACTCCGAAATAATAAATTTGTGATGCGGCACTCGCTGCCGCGCGCTCACTAACGTTCGGCCGGGAGGCGTGCTCACTTAAGAGTTAAATTTTATTATTCAAAATTTAGAATCGCAATTGCTTGGAAATGCAAAAGATTCTTAAAATTTTAAATATTTTCTTATTACTCATACATTAGGATCAGGTCTATTCAAACTCCTGAAAAAAAAGTTCTCTAAGAATTCCCTAATTTTCAAGGCAATTTGTTAAACAATATATAGATATGAACCGAGTACATGTTAACAAACTATAACAAGAAATATGGCCATTTTCTCGGCAAGCTCCTCGGCAAGATTCTTCTTGATTGCTAGATTTTCTAAATGAAATAAATTCAAATAGTTATATCACCAATTACGTGCCACTACAAGCGGTCTTCTAACGTAGTAATTTTATAATAATTCTATAATCCGTATTTTGATATCGATTAAAATCCCTTTTATTATCCCTCCTCCCTCCAGGAAATATATATAGCTGGGTATATTACACTTAGCGAACGAACACGAATGTGACATTCGTTGTATCATGTACTACGTTTACATGGCATTAATCCGACTTAGTAACAACCGTAGTTAGTGAAATCTTGCGTTAGATTGATACATTCTTTTAAATCTAAAATTGTGGTCCAATTAAATACAAGAAATCACTAACTATGGTTGTTACTAAACCGGTTTAACGTCACCGTGTAAAGATAGAATAGTGTAAGGAGTCAATATGTGCTCGTCAGATAGACCTAATTTGGATCCAGTTTGCGCAGATATGGCGCTGGAACAAGAAGGGAGGGTGTGCGTCACGGCGGGGCCCGACCACGAAGTCGTGAAAATTCGCAATTATTTTTGCGAAAAAATACCACCTCAGCCAGGAATCGAACCTGGATCTCCTGCTTACCGGGCAGGCATCTTATCCTTTCGACTACCGAGGCATGTGATGATATTTATCGCAAATAACATGTTTAGAATAACACGTCAACAATACAATGATACATATACATATACATATATTACAATATATATATATATATATATATATATATATATATATATATATAATATAGTTCTTTCGAATCCCCACGACCGGCCTTCCATATTAGAAAATAATAGTAAAATAAACAAATTTGTGACTACGTGATATGTGATTTAATAATAGAGAATTTAATAATTATTAATAATAAAAGTCACAATAGTAGTTCTCAATTAAATAAATTCAT